GAATGCAAAAAGCTCTTTTCTATTGTTTGGCTTCTTTTGAGTAGCAAAATGACAATGTGTGGTACTGCTGAGATTGTAGTCTAAGCCGGTCGGACCTCCGACTAACAACTATGTAAGAAAATAACAGCGGATTGATTGTAGCTCCTGAACGCACGTTAGCTCACAGTTATTTGTCAGTTTATGCATTGAGACCCTTTATTAAATGACATGTTAGTCTAGGGTCAAATGTAGTGCATTTTGCAATGTACAGTAAGAAAATAGAATGTAACATGTAGACAGTGCCAGGGGTTTTTGCTTTTTTAATTTGATCCCTTTCAGTTCAGTCCGTCTTCAGTTTATCAAAGTTAGTGTCCAGTTACACCATTACACCATGCGCCATTTTAACAACATGGCAATGGCGAGCGGTATCCTTCCAAGAAGACCCAACCCCAACTTGGTGCATTCTCTCTTCCAAACACAATATTTTGCTTCCCATGTTGGAATAAATTTTAAATATTTAACTGCAAAGTCATAATGCCTGTTTGATTCCGCCAGCCGGCGTCTATGGTCATCACACCACAACAATAATGATGACTGCTGCTTCCAACAAACACGAAAACAGTAATCACCCTTTCAACAATCATCACTTTTTTGGCAAACAGCATCGTCCTCGTCAGAGTCCTAAAGTTGGCCTCTGGAAATATCTAATGTCATCTAAATAAGTGTGAGCATTGACCTCCGCAAACCGCCGCACGCGTGTCAACACAGACTCGGTATTATGTCTTATCGTCCTGCTTCTTCCTTTTTTAGTCACATAGAAGCAGAAGACATGAGAAGACAGATAACGGTTGGATCTACATCTCTGGTAAGGGAAGACATTTTGAGGACGTAAGGACATTTCTAGAAATTGAGCATATTTGTGATGGGGTTGTGAGGTCACTTTTGGGAAGTTTACAGATTTTTAGAAGTTGATGATATTTTTTGGAGGTTAGGACATGTGATTTCTTTTGTGATGTCTTTTATGTGGAATTTACATTTTTGAGGGTGAGGACTCTTTTGGAAACAGCGAAAATATTTATAGTGGCAAAAAGTGAGGACATTATATGAACAAGTAAAAGTTGAAATGTAAGACATTTTGAGTGTCCCTGAGCAAGACACCCAACCCCTAACTGCTCCCTGGGCAAAATGTAAAAACCATGAGATAAAAATGCAACGTAAGACGCTTTGGATAAAAGCTTCAGCTAAATGACATGTAGTGTAATTTCCTGCAGAATGCAAGATTAGCAAAGGACGGACAGAAGCATAAAAGCACACACATGACTTAACGCAGGATCATTTGCGGTAAAGTACAGTACATTTGTAAGATACGACCATGACAATAAGCAATACCGCAAGATTGCCAAAGGCTCAAGTTTATATCCAGAAAAAGAGTTCAACCGCAAAAAAATGCACCCTTTCTGACCCTTTCACACACCAGCGGACTAAAGAAACACAATAAAGTTATTAATATCAGTACTAGTATTAGGTACTAGGATATCTAAATACACTCAAGGCAGAGTCATTGCAGTGTCGTACAATACAATACAAAGGGGGAGAGTGCAGTTCGATCACTAAGTACAGCAAAGCGCTACATGAGTTATATTTGCAGTGTTCAATGGAACTGGAGACGGATGGCAGAATAAAATACACAATGTCCCATTGTTGACTGCAATGAAAGATGCTTTATTGGACACAGCAACAAGTGGCTGTGCCAAAACAATCACGTCAATAAAATGTAATAAATACCATATACCAGTACCATATTTGAACACCTTATGCATTTAGACCAAGGCACGATGATTCAAAGTCAAGAGAAACGGGAAGACATTCAATCTCAGCTAAGTGAAGACGTTGGTCGCTTCTCAAACTACGCGTCATTAATGAATCTTATACGTGAGGCCTGTTTTACATTTCATTGACAAAGCACACAAGGTGTTAAATCACAAATTCTACTTTTAAAGTTTGTTTGGTATGGTGGGTTTTATATGTTCTACCAAATTACCCATGTAGTAGTATTTATTATTGTAGCAAAAATAGAAAAAAATGAGAATAAATCAAATAGTTTACATATTTTACATATTTTGTAAACATATTCCATCAACCATTCCATGTTTTTCTATAAAATATAAATTTTTCGCAGATATTTTCAGTTATTTTTCCCACTCTGCAAGCACCCCCAGGCGGCCCTGTGGTACACGCTACTGACAAGCTGCCACTGGTGCAGGGAGTGTGTGGTCCTCCCGGTGCGTGTGAAACCCGTTGTGCACCTCGTCTTGCCCGCATGCCTTTCACCTTCCTCCAGCGTGCTCTTGACTCAGCGCCGTCCCCGGGGGGCTAATCCTCTGATCAGCATGCCGAGGGGTACGCCGAGGGGCCCGACTCAACTGATGGATGGCGGGGGCCCGGGGTGATGCCTGGCTCCAGCCACTTTCTCAGATTGTGTCAGCCACATGTACCACAGCTTATTGTTGACCAGAGGGAGGAGGCAACCAAACTACCCCCCTCCCACCCCACCTCAACCTGCCCCGCCTCCACCCACCCCATCTGCTCTCCATCCGTCCTGCAGGCTGAGAGCATGGGACAGAAACAATGACCGCGGGTGACGAAAGTGTACATTGAGGATAAAAAAAGAAAAAACAATGACGTTATTACATTGTGTGGCTGGACAACGGGGGGGTGGGGCGGGTACTGAATTCCACCTTCCCTGGTCCAATGTGTCAGGTTCAAGTTACTCTCCTGACAAAGACCCAGGGTGAATGGAGTGACTTGAGAGACCAGGGGATTGAGAGTTCCTTGGCACACAAACAATTAGCACTCGTCCCCGCATAGCTTTGCCGTGGCCCCAAATCCCCACATTTGTCCAGACAAATTGACTGGACGCCGGGTCTTGTTTGTCTAGCTCTGCTGGCCTGCAGGAGAGGGCTGGAGGGCAGCGGGGGGACTGCCCCCTGCAAGCGCGACTCATGGGAACAGAACAAACAATGTGTTCTGGTCTGAAAACCAGCTTTTCCATCCTCGGTCACGACACAGAGCTCGATCCAAAGTGATCGGTTTGTTCACTGTTCACTATTGGATTCCAAATGACAACAGATGGAACGTGTGTGACTATTGTACTTGGTCATTTGATTGAATGCAAAAAAATAAATGCGTTTAATGCGCTGGATCCTGAAGTAGGTACACAGCACAATGGGTTGGCGTCAGGAAGGGCTACGGGTGCTGCAATATTCCTAAAATCATTGGCACGTTGTAATTTGATGTAATTGATAAGAGCTTCACTGCTTTCATTCCCCTCTCTCAACTCTGTATCAGAACCTTAGGAAGTCTGTGCAAATGCTAACGGCTTGTCCTACTGTCACATGAAGGGATTCAACTTTCTCAATGGGTCCTGAAACTGTAGAGCAAGGTGCGTATGTAGTGAAAGTAAAAATACTTTAATACGGCGATAAAAAAACAAACAATTTGATAGCCTTTTCATTTAAAGGCCGTGAATCAATCAGTGGTGCAAATAAAAATGTTAAAGAAGAACATTAAATGATTTATAACTTTCCATCCTTGAGGTTCTATGACACAGGTGTTCTTCTGCTTTGGTACCTACTCCTACTACTTAGGAAAGTAAGTATGAGCAGTATAGTTGATGAGCTGAGACCAATCTGAAGAGGATTACTGAGATGCTGATGCAGTTGAGCTTCGGACCTTCTTCTTTTGCCTTTGCTATGAGAATGGTGCAAAACGTGACGCATAATAGAGTCTGTGACGAGGGGGTGCAGATGTAATGAGGTTTGGATTACAAAAACAAAGTTACACTTTTTTAGACATGAGTATAATTCAATTCCATCTAATTTAAACACTTTTTCACAATTGTTTTCCCTTCATTATTGTTGCTTCAAGTTTCCCAGTTTCTTTATATCAGTAATCAGCCAATTGACAACACAAAAAAACAGTTTGCAACACAAACACATTTATTTTGATTAAATATTTGATATTGACCAAACAATACAATTTCAAATTATGCACTTGCCTTTGTAACCGCTGTAATTCAAACTATGTCATATGCACTTAGATTACTACTCTCCAAATGTGCCTATATTAGACTGCCATCTAGTGCTTCCTTTGTGAACAAAATATTTTGAGAGTTTTAGAGAACCTGCAGTTATGCAAAAAACTGTTTGGAAAACTGTTGCTGGTTGCACTGGAAGAATTGCACAACAGTCCGAAGGTCAGTGTGTTTTGTTTAGAACCAGGTCCGTACCAATGTCATCGTTTCCTGGTGACTATGAGGAAATAGACCTCATGTTGCCTCTAAACATATAGAAAGGTCAATGTTAAAACGTTTATGTGGGTACCTATCTTGCTTTGACGAAATCATTTGTTTGTAATCTCATGTCATGCTGTTTGGAGTGGTAACATTACCTTCATGTGATTCACCTCTCCACGTCATGTCGCGTCGCTGCTACATTGGTGAGGCCACACCTGTGTTGTCTGTTAAACTATAAACTTTTACAATATGTTTTTTATATGTATCGCTTGCTTTGTATCAACAGAGGAGTTTGCTCAGTAAACAGTATTTCCCCTGCAGTGTGTACATTTCATAAAACACACACACACACATCATTGTAGCGTCTCGTTAGGGGACTTGACTTTGGACAACGTTAAGATAGACACAACCTGCATTGTTTACCTTTACACCCCCCTTCAGGTACACGTTATGTGCAGACAATGGTCCATTTCTGCACGTCCTTCTTAATAGACTTATAGAAAGAGAAAAGGAAGAACAGAGCAGTTGATCCCGCGCTGTATAAACTGATCCACTGCTAATGACGGTTGTCTCGGTTAAACCGCACCTGCTGTTACCACGGTAACCATTACTGTAGCCAAAACAATGTTGGCTGAAAATAGAAAAGTAACTAATAGGAATAGAGCCTTAGCGCTGATTGCCATTGTGCTCTTTAATCGACACAACACATTTAATGACACAACACAAAAAGTGCTCATTTTTTATTATATTGTAACATACATTATAGTAAATAACACGTCAAACTAGAGTTTTAAATCGTTTAATTGTTGTTTTCTAACTGTTGTATTGTGAATTTATATATATATATATATGGACAGCTTTTCTAAAAAAGGACAGCTTTTCTAAAAAACACACATATGAATATTAGTGCACACAAATAGAACTCAACTAAAAATCAACTTTTGTATGGTTAAGAATATTTCTGCTGTTGTTCATGTTTACGCCACCGTCCTCCTTCGCATCAGGCGTGTGGACGTCATTCGTTTCTTCATATCTGATCCCGAAGAGACTACAGATATTCTTCAGCATCAGGTCGACTATCTCCTCCTCGTCTGAGGGCTGGGTAAGAAAGGGCAGGTGATGAAATCATGTTGGTGTTATAAGACGTTGAGAGTTCATCTTTATTCACTGAAGTGTCACTTGAAGACATATCATGTGACACGTGAACTCATTTTGTACTTCCATCTTTTTTTATTCTTTCGAAGCAATGTGAAGAACTCAAAATAAGAATGTCATCTATTAGTTACTGGGGAAAACAAACATGCAGGTGTACCATTGTTTGTTTAAGAATGTGAAAAGAGGTGGTTACTAAGCAACTGCAATGGCTAAGTAGTGATATTGATCCAAGTGCCACCAGAAAATCCATTTTGGATTATAAAAAGCCCAGAAACCCACAGTTTTCTTGAATTCGATTGATCTGATTGTGTGGTAATTGTTTGTTTGAATTTTTTTTTAAACTGCTTTTTAGCTGCACTGTTTTTTGTGTTAGAAATGAAGTTGAAGTAACTATCTCCAGAAGGATTTGATCAATTTTTATCTTGCTGAAAGGGTTCCTGGGAAACCCGTAACTGGCTTGTTTGTCAAAAGTCTTTATGTATTACCATGAGAATTGTACACTATATTGTATATATTTGTTTAATGTATGGCTTATACATTATATACATTAAAACGTGGTTATAAATAAACACGTTTTGATTTTACCTAAAACCTGAACCTAAACTCTGAAAATGACTCCTGATGAATGTTACCTTGTGGTGTAGTTGCTCCTGCTTGAAGGCCACCAGGATCACCGAGAGTAAGAGATTGAGCACCACGAACGTCATTAAAACAATGCAGGAACCAAACAGGAATCCGCCGAGCAAAGGGGAGTCGCCCAGGACCTGGAAAACAATATCAGTTTGAGCTCTAGAGGAACAATCCTTCTTTGTGCACATGCATATTGGTTAAAGATTATTACTCTGGAATGCATCTCACACAGCAGATCTGTCAGGGGGGGGGAAGAGTCACTCACCTCGTCATAGTTGAAGATGCCTATCTGCAAACCGATGATGGTCAGGAGTGCATCCGTAAACGTTTTATACGAGGATATCTTCCAGCCGTAAATCAAGTTGGACTGGAAAAAGATCAATCAATGTATTGCCATTTTAACAAAAAAACTACCATCACTGCACAATGACCTCAGTACAGACACACACACACACACACACACACACACACACGCGCATATTTGAATTCTTCCACCTTTAGAGATGGTTAAGTTGAAGTTATTGTGCTTCAGTTGCTACTTGATTTTCTGAATTTACGAGGGAAAATCTGAAAGTGCCTTGGGCAACATATAATAATTAAGAAACTCATACTTTCCGGGCACAAATGACTGACATCTGTGCAAATGGGAAAGTCTTGGTAAACAGATAAGAAACTCACCGAAACGGAATACGCCACAAACATGATCAGGATGACCACAAGAAAGCTGCATATGTCGTTCCAGGCCCGCTGCAGGGCGGCGGTGATCACGTTCATCTTGGGGTTCAGTCGGAGCAGGTGCCACAGTTTGAAGGTTGCCAGTAGGACCAGGAAGGCGACCAGATACTGGAGCGCTGAGTCTGCTGTGGCTGTCTCGTAAAAACTTGCAAATCTACGCAGACAGGAAATATTTGAGTCATCACAAACAGGAGAATCAATGCACGTTAAGGAAACCGCTTTGTTGTAAAGGAGCAGATGGATAGCAATAAAGTACAGAAAGAGACTTTACTATCTATAACTTGGCTTATTTGGATTAATAATAATAATAATAAGGCTGAGGACAAGGAATGTCTTCACTGAAGCTAATAGTCGATTGTGGGTTCATACACATCAGTGGATGACCAGGTGTCAATGGGTGAACGGCATCATGTGTAAAAGCGCAGTAAAAGTGGTCAGAAAACCACCTAAACAAGTGCTTTCAATCTACCATTACTCACTAGCACCTAACCACAATGCAAAGCGCAGAGCACATCTTCTGTGCTTGTGAAAGTGATGGCTTAACAAGCGAAAGGTTAGTCTCACTGGTGCTTGTGGTTTTCGTAGTAGGTCATGTCGCGGTTTCCGAGCAGAGTCCTCTTGACGAAGACAGCCACGGCACTCCAGCTCAGTAAGATGATCGTCAGCTCGAGGAGGTTCCACTTGCACCTGAAGTAAGTCCATCGCTGCTGCTTCATCAATTTTCCCTGTCAGGAAAAGAGAGGAGAAGATCTCATTTGAGTGGGTTTCCGTGGTTCCGTTCCATTAGGTCTAGAAGGGAGAAGAAAGGGCATTCTAAATAATAAACATCATTTCATGAAAAAGATTTTTATCTTCAGAATTGAATCATATATAATGAAAAGACTGGATGTATATGTTTCTCCCTTTACTGGTATCTCTCTCTATGTAGTATTTGTCCAACCTCAATCCTAAACTGTAGTAAACTAAGCAGAAGCATCCTGAATATAAAATGTGTGAAAGGTTCAAGTGAACAAGCTAATGCGCCCTGTCTGCAGATGTTTGAATACGCATGTTAGTCCATACCTGCAGGAACATGTAATAGAGGATGAAAAGCAGGTATATGATCTCAGCAGCCACAACGAAGATGTGAAGATTATCAGTTGATTGGTAAAGCCGAACACTGTGCAGCTCGCTGTGGAACTGAAAAGCTCCTATAAAATCAAGGGGAGGAATAATGTTTGAACACACGAATGCCGGCATGATCTTATTTACATAGTGTGCTGTACGCCGATGTGAAGGAAGAACACAAAGCGATTAGATTGATAAGAGACGTAAACATCAGTGTTACATTCCCTCCTGCAGACCCTCTTTAATCAAGTTGCAATGTGTGAGATCTGCAAGACTTTTTGTGTTGAAGAGAAAGTTTGCCGCATAATCAGAAGTAAAATTCATGTTAAGTGAGCAGTTTCATGTAGGATTGTGTAGGCACATGAAACACAAAAAAGGTCTGTGACAATGCCAGCAGATTAGCTTTTTGCTAACTCATACCCACAGATGGCCCTCCAGTTAGCGCTTAGCTTGCTGGGTGAAATGACGTATACGTGCAAAAATTGCACCTTTTACTAAACTGTATCCCATCTGTGTCGTTGCTAAAGCCGTGATGGTGCTTTGTGCAACTTTTGAAAGTAAATACTTAACCTTACCTACAGCACTTGTCTCCAGCAAGAGAGTGACGATGCAGAAGAGGTTCACATTCGCATTGTACACGGTGAACTCAACAAAGATCGCCCTTGTGTAGACATCCAGCCATCTATTCTTGAACAGGTAGTCAAGGGTGCTGCAGATTAAGGAAACAAGAATATTTTTACTGAAGACCTCCATCTCTGAATAAATATATTCATGTGTTGCGCTTGACTTTAAATGGTATTCGTCAACCAGCTTTTTATTCGTCTATCTCTCCAATGTGGATAAATTGATGATGAACAGGTCACTAAACGCCCTAAGCCGGTTGATGACACTCTAAACTCACGGCCCAATATGAAAAAGGGAGGACGCATTCCAATGCGCTTACCTGGTGGCATTTTGTGAATCCGGGCCGAGCTCCGCTACATAGCCACCTCCCCTGTAGAGCACCATTTGGCCCCAGATGGGATAAGACCTGAGCTCAGACTGTGTTTGGTATGTCCACGGGCCAGATGTGCCTGTAGAGGTATCAACCCTCTCAGAGCGGTTCCAGCCAGTGCCATAGGAGCCCATATCCTCGGCCTCCCATGAATATGGAGCGTTACAGTCTGGTGCAAAGTGGAGCATAGGTGCTGCGATCTGACAGGAGTTGCTCTGCACCCTCAGTTGACGAAGACGGGCATTACCTACTAGCTTGGAGTTTCCATCAGTGATGAATCCTGAAAACAAAACATTGCATTTGTCTCTTTTCTCAGGTGCTTTGTGTGTGTTCTCTGTGAGATAACAACTCTGCCAGTTATGGTCTAGGTTTTTTCCATATGTGTTGTGAGAACGCAAGTTACACATACTGATAACAATTAGTGGCAAAACCGTGAGGTTGTAAATTGAACAAGCCTCTCTAGACCCTCACCCCTTTACTCCTTACCCTACATGCCTTCATTCCACAACCCTCACCCTTTTATCCTTAACCCTACATCCCTTCGTACATCGGCCATCATCCTTTTGCCCCCTGTACCCTCATCCCTTCGACCCTTACTGACATCCCTTGAAACCAAGACCCTCTTCAGCTACCCTTCATCCCTCTTCACTTCCTCCCGAACCTCATCCATTCAATCCTTACATTAAATCAGTTATGGGTGTCTTGCTGAGGGACACTTCAACACGGGACATAGAGCATCCGGGGTCCGAACCGCCAACCTTGTGGTTTCCGGTGCACCCTCTTTACTCCATGCGTCACAGCTGCCCCCAAAATGGCTACAAAACTGCTTCTGTACTACAATAATTACTTTGGTCATTCTTGGTACATTCTTACCTGGATAAACTCCAAAAAGGTTACTTAGTAGCAACGTGTTGGCCCAAGTGAACACATCAGTAAGACTCATGCTGTCTGAGGTTTGGCTACTGAAACTATCTCGGATGTGACGATGCAGGAAAAAGACATTGGGATCTTTCTGGCCGTGTGCTAGCAGCAGCAACATCCACATGAAGCCCACATAGGCTGCAACAAAAGGACACATTAGAGTTCATCAAAGCAGATCCGGCAACCTTAATCATTTCATCTCAAGCTGCATGTGCGTGCTACTGCATATTGAGCACGCAATAAAACAAGTGAAACTATCTTCAAAAGGACAAACCACGACTCCAAGTAAAGTAAGTATGTTATTGTATACTATTCAACACTATTTCAGTTTGAAATATGATAATAATATACTGTAGTTGGTTTAATATTTGGGTTTAAGGATACATGAAACCATATTTGAAACTTTGTCTGATGATATACAAATATAATTCCTCAACATGTACAAGATTTTTTCCTGGCAACTAGGCGAGCAAATAGCATTCATCATTAATTGTTATATTATATCATATTTGAATCTGCATGAACTGAACATGAGGTGGCACTGGCAAAGTGATAGGAATGATTTGTGGATTATGTTGCTTCATTTATTGCGTCCTATAAATTAGTGTGACAAATTATATTTGCTTTGCATCAATGCAATAAATAGAACAGTGTTTTATATTTACTCAATATTTCTTTGAGGAGGGCGAAAGCTTTCTGTTGCATGACCGTGTTCCTTTTCATCTTCTCAATGTCTGCAGCAGGAGGAGGCTCATAGAGACTGGGATCCCGTTTGTTCATTTGTTGGTCCTTAACATCACCTGAGGGTAAAAACGTATTCATCTGTTCTGATAATTAAAGAATTTAAATGGGAGTTCAAAGGTTTTGAATCATTATATTTTACCTAGATTTCCTTCAAACTCTACATTTCGGAAATCTTCATCTTCAACTTTCTTTATTATAAGAGCAAAGAAGACAGCGAGACAGAGCACCTGTGGGGAAAGCCATAAATTACGTTGAATTATTTATATTTTTTTATTAATTGAACAAAATGTATCATCAGTTATGTGCCCATGAAGACATGTAGAATATGAAAATAGTATGAAGTTAAGTTTTCTAAAATATAAAGCATTCCTTATATTGGAAATACTGAGCTACTAGTGATGTATCTCGACTAGATCTCGACTCTTTGCTGTCCTTGCGCCGAAATGGTGGAACGATCTCTCTGAAGACACCAGGACCGCAGAGAGCCTTCACATCTTCCACCGCAAACTAAAGACACAACTCTTCAAACTCTACCTCGACTAAAGACTAACAAATTGTAGCACTTAAATTGTACTTGTAACGTCACTCATCTATAGCAAATTGTAAATTGGCTTATTTGAGGAAATTGCACTTTCTTGTTTCTTGTTCTCCTGAGTTTGTACCCTATGGTTGAATGCACTTATTGTACGTCGCTTTGGATAAAAGCGTCCGCTAAATGACATGTAATGTAATGTAATGTAATGTATGAAGAGTGAACTTCTTCTCACCTTCAATGGCTGAATGACCAGCACGCTCTGGAAAAAGGAGACACACATGGACACCAACCAGCTTACGGAGCGATCCTTCCCAAATTTCAACCCATAAAGCATCGTGAAAAATCCAGAGACAAAGCTGCATGCGATGACTAGCAGCCAGCCCACAAACACAAACCACCAGGGAAGCCCCCCGTGACAGCACCCCCTTTTCCTCTGACCATCAGCACCATCGGTGCTCTCTGCTGGGCTCCGCCTGCAATTCAAAGAACACCATTCACTCAAAATGAAAAGCGTTGGTAGGCTGAAAACTTACAACCACTCATCAGACTCTTGGCAAGAAAGTGATCAAGCCCATTTTTTTTACTTTTAACTACTACCAGCTGTTTTCCAAACCGACTGCCCGATTGGCAGCTGGATTCCATTCATTTAGACAAGAAGATCAATTTGCAGTGATTTGAAAAATATTTCATGCATTCCACAAATTAAGACTTCTGACAATGATCTATTAATCTCAAATGGTTACAGTGCAGGCAGGGACCATTGTATTCATATCACAATAATTATCAGCCGCAACTTTCTACAAAGAGGTTACCATCAGCAACTGCGTTCTCCTGTTCTATATATAACTATGATGAAATGAAACAGGAAGTAAACAAAAAGGTGAGTCACTCTTCACTTGAAATCAATTAAATTAAAACACAGTTTGTAGATAACGGGCAACATGCGAATCCAACAGTGTGTTCTGTGATTCATCTCGCATGTACTTGTTCTGGGTGGTTTCATCTGGGTTGACACAACGGACTGTGGAGAGTTGATCTTCCAGACACTCCTTGATGCCCTGGATCTGTTGAAGAGCTCGGCTGTGGCTGTGTGGGGTCGGGAAGCCCGACGGACCCAACAGACTCAGCCGTTTGTCAATGTGGCACAGCTGCCGGTACAGATACTGCGTTTTGCTGCTCTTCTTTTGAATCCCCTCCATTGTTGACCCTGGGCTGCCCTCTGGAAATGTGCAGAATTGACATAAACTGTGTTCTGTGTAAACATTATTATTGGGAACGGTTATAAAAAAACCCCGCAGGAATTTTGATTCATAAAGGATTTTGTTTTTACACATTATATACACAGTAAACATCGCAGCTCTACACTGCAACACATAAGCCAATGTTCTGTGTTTGTCTTGCTCTCTGAAATCACCAAACATTTTGATTCCCCTTCTTATATCCCTCTTCTTGCGTACTCTCGACGCTTTACTATCGACATAAATCATATGCCAATGCAAGTTCACTTAGGGTTGTCCCTATATGTCTCGTATAACAACAAATACACAAGAAAAATATAAGAAAAGGTAAAAACAAATAAACCAAAAAAAGAAAACAGGTGTAGGTATAATCATAATCATAATCATAATCATAAAAACTTTATATATACATAAAGAACACACGGTATATACCTGGTGGCTGAGGCTGAGCGAGGTTGCTAGAGCTTTGAGTTTGGTGCTGCGTGGAGTCAATGGTATTCAGTTTGATAAAGTCCTCCACCATGGAGAGAACAGCATTGATATCAACGCCTTGTCCAGACTCCATGTTTTGTATTTTGCTTTTCATGTTGTTAGACAGAGAACAAGCAATTCTTGTGATATCCTGAAAGAAAAGGTTTACATTTTCATGCTGTCATTTTTTTTACATATAAGATTACATATCATGTGTAGAACAATAGAAATTGGAAATGATAAAAGTACCCATCACTCAAGTGCCATAAAACGTTTAGAAATCATTTGAGGGCTTAAATATTGACGATAAACAAATGAAACAGCTTCCAACCGTGTAAAAGACATGGAGCACTGTTACGACCCCCGGTTTTGTCTGTGTTCTGTGTGTGTGATAACCCTCCTCAGGTGGAGCTATCTGACTGCAAAATGCACCTCGCCTCACGCGATCTCGTACAGCAGGAACCAGCCTTCCCTTCGATCTTTCGCCACTGCCAATGTTCCTGAACTACGACAAAATCACTTGATTCAGTGTGTATTCAACTACTTTTTGTGGCGACGAGAGATTGGATAGATGCCTCGATCCATTGAAATTGAGTGAGCATTAAGTGGTACCTGCAGCATGTGTGTCTTCGTGGTGGCGAGGTGTACTGTTTATGCTTGTATTTGTGAGTCAGACGATGGAGTTTGGGTGACAGCAGAGCGTCTGACAGATTGATTGGCATGGGGCCATTCGACATATCTGAGCCTACCACAGCATCCGTGAAAAGTCTTCCACCTGTGGTACATAGTTAAATAAAGCTGCC